ATCCATCCATCCATCCATCCATCCATCCATCCATCCATCCATCCATCCATCAATCCATCCATTTATCCATCTATCCAACCATCCATCCATCCATCCATCCATCCATCCATCCATCCATCCATCCATCCATCCATCCATCCATTCATCCTCCCACGAATCTCCCGAGTATTCTCCGCGCGCGGCCGGCAGAGGGAGCCACGTGCCGACGGGCGCGCCGATGCGTTGCTCCCACTGATCTCTATATAATACTCAGTCTCTTATATAGTTAGTATAATAGAGATCAGTGGTTGCTTCTCGACAGCGCGAAAAAGTGAACGGCGCCCGCGTAGGTGGCGCTTGTGTTTTGAAACTCCCGCGGCTTAGCCAACGAGGCGCCATCGATCGACCGACCGCGCGAATAACTATTTATTGTGAACACTTTATTTTTGGGCGCTGACATGACACTCCGTGATTGTGCTGCCAGTCTGCCACCCTGACAAAGTTGCCGAAGTTGCGATTTTTTCCGATTTATTTTGCACGTTACAGTCAGACCGAGGGCTAATCACAAAAGTGCAAATATATTTATACATAGGCCTAACTACTAGTTAACCGAACGATTCTTATTTTATGACAAATTCGTTCCTATTATAACTAAATCTATAAGTTGTTTATAAGTTAAGATATTGCAATCCTTTGCCTCTTACATTAATAACCTTTACCAACTTAAGTAACCGCACGATTTTCGCGGCGGTATATCTGAATGAATTAGCGATATTTTTTATTCGTATTTTTATTCGTTAACTCACTGTTGTTTTATGACAAATGTGATTGCACGATTATAGAAATTTGTAGGTATATACAATTATTTATGCACTTATGCCTACTATTATGATATAGGGTTTAGTATCCCTTTAATTAGTATAATTATTTAGAAGCAGTTACAGTCCTTCGTGCTTGGTCTTCACTGGTCTTACATGTATTAACCTCATAACTTTCTGAATATTGATGTTCAAAGTCCAAGAGACCGAAGAAGTAGAGATTCAACATTTTAATTCGTTAACATTATTTTATAAGAAGAATTTGTTTCTCTCTGTGTGCCAAGACATAAATGTGCAATACAAAGTTCAAAGTTCAAAAGGTTTTTGTTTATATTTTTCACCACATAGTTTATATATAAGAACATGATTACAGACAATCAATCGGCGAGACGGTATATTCCCGGGTTTTACGATATCCGGCTACTCGTATAGATGAGAAAGTCACCTCCCAACCCCCTCCCACTAACATAAACGGAAGGCTAGTGTGTGTTACAGCACGTCTCGTATGCGACGCTAATATAAGCTGATGATCCTCACGTGTAACTAGGCTAACACGTATGCGAAAATAAATAAAAGATGCCGTAACGCCGCACCGACGAAATTATAGAGCGTCAATACATTAACGTCTGATCACCGGCGTCCCTATCGTCATCGTCATCGTCACCGCCATCGCAACTCCGACAGCGCCGTCACGCGTTCACGCTTTTCGCTCTTTCTCTCTCTCTCTCTCTCTCTCTCTCTCTTTATTTAGTGTGAAATGAACATTTGCGGTTAAGTTAGCGCAGGAGATGTCCGACGCAGCGAGCGACGATAAAACTCACGGGTAGTCGAACGCGGCGTCGCGTGCGCATGCGCGTCGCCCCGCGAGTTCTCGCACGACTACATCAATATCGTCGCGTCTGTAACCCACGGGCACTTGGAGCGTTTCAATAAAATATAATGTTAAATAAATACGAAATCTCTTTACTATACCAAAGTCGAAATATTTCATTGAAACGCGTCAACGGGCTGGTGCTGTAACAGGGAACATGGTTGTCGGGAGCGGTTGTTCACATTTGTAGAGCACATATCTACACGCTGCTGCGCACGTAATTTTCAGGAATAGGTGCCGCTTGCGTCGCTTGCCCATGACAGCGCCTGAGCACATGCAGTTATGATGACTACTTATGAAGTTATTCGCGTATGCGCAGAACAGGTTGCGGAGCTGTCGCTTCGCTCTCGCACCGTGGATCCTGGCGTCGTCTGCCGGCATGGCAGAGGTCACTGCGAGCAGTACTAGTGTCGCCACCTGTGAATCAGAGAAGGAGGATGTCTTAACGTAAACTCTGTATTCGGGCGCACGCACGAGATTCGCGGGGTATTAGATTCAGATTCTGTTATTTTCTCCTCACGGTCACACAGCACGGTTCGATGACATGAAGCGCATTCACGGCCGGTGACGCCCATACTCTTACGGTACCTTTTCCGAAACACAAAATACAGCACGAGCGGCGATCCGCGTCGGCCGATAGAGAAATGGATAAGATAATCACTCGTTCGTGGTCGCGATCCGTTAAGTGAACGTGAGGTAGTATCACTATCTATCGCATCATTAGAATACGTATCTGCTATGTTTCGATAGGGACATGTCAGGACCCCTGCTGGTGTTGTTAAAGTTTGAGCGCAAGAAGTTTGTTGTTAGCAACCATAGCCTACTGATAATTTCATCGTATGTTGCATAAGCCATAGGCATATAGCAGATAATGCGGTATAGAAAGTGAGTGTAACAAAACCTTTTTAATAAGAGCTACTTCAAGTAAGATTATTAGATAATCGTTGCTGTAATTACAACAAAAACTAAGCGTGGGTTCTTAGCGGCATCGTGTGCACGAGTAAGCTATGCATCCAAATGTAGTAAGGTTACGCAGATTTGTTTATCAACCGACACCTGCCAATTTTGACGGATTCATTATTAAGCAACATCCGTAATTTTTGGTGAGTCCGTTAAGAAGTCGTTCCGCACATATGTATGTGACCACTCACTGTTAGTGGTTGTAAAGGATCCCAGCTTGTTAATTATGAGCTGCAAAATTATTGCTAAGCGTGCCGAACGCAAGCGTAGCCTCTTGGACCCTGCGAATTCCTACCAGAATAGCTACTTTGTCAGAACGCACTCACATTTTAATCCGTGAAATTTCCATTTTCTTGGTCCCTTGTCGTCTGTTTACTAGGTTGAAGTTCTCTACTAAGACTGCACATCGTCGTGCACACCGTTGCCGCGTCATACTCTCGGGCTGCACTCGGCGTGCGTTCTGTAGGTGTTGAATTGTTGTATAAGTTTTGCCTGTAAACTGACATATACGCCAAATATATACCATCGTGTGTCGGTCTTAGCTCTAACTAGTGTATCCTGCTACTCGCTTTAGTGCGCATGTGTTGCTGTGTTAAACGACCGGACCGACGTGTTATTCTGAAGGAGCATGCGGTAGTGTTTATCGGTGTAGTTTGCTGCAAAAACAAAAAGTTGACAACGATTGTGTGACATGCAAAATACTTACGCGTGCGCACTACTCACACTCGCATTCGAGATTGCGTAGAATTTTCACGAATCTGCGTGTAAAGCTTGCTATGAACTTATAGTATAAGAAGTTTTTGTGATGTAAAAGGGCACTTTACATGAATGAAGCAGGCGAACTATATGTGTTATACCACTGTCTATGCTGACATGTTTCATGATGGTAGTGAGAGCTGCTGTCCTGTTGCAACCGCTTCGTGGTGATCAGGGTATGTGTCCCGATATGGATTTACTTTCATAGGAATCAATAATATGTTGTATTATGTGTCTTGTAAACGTTCAGTAACGTACTACTTATCATTATCATTGCTGCTTGCTCACTAGAATTCAAAGTCGTAGCACGATAACCAACATGACTAATTCATATTTACATTTCGCTTCAGGAGCACGAAGTTCCTATCTCTGCTCCTAACGTGTGTGTGGTGTGTGTGGTGTGGTGTGTGTGTGGACTTGATTGTGTTGGTACGTGCTTGGTACGCTTGCGTACATGTGCGTCGTTCGCGTGTGCGCTGTGCGGTGTGCGTGTGCGTGTGCGTGTCGTGTGGTGTATACGTTGCGTGGGCGTTATGCTGTGTGTGCGTGAGCGGCTGCGTCGTGCCGTATGTGTGTGTTGTGTGTGTGTGGTGTTGTGTTGTGGTGTGTGCGATTGGCAAGCGCGGGTGTGCGTGGTGGGTCGTGGTGGTGATCGCCCGTGTATAATGCTGTGTGTGTGTGTGTGTGTTGTGTGTGTGTGTGTGCATTCGCTGTCGCGGCGCCGTGTGCCTCCGTCGTGCGTGTGGCCATGTGCATGTGTCGTGGCGTGTTGCGTGTGCGTGTGGCGTGTGCGCTGTGCGTGTGCGTTGTGCGTTTGTGCGGCCGCGAGTGTTTTTGCGTGTGGCGGCTGCTGTGTACATGTCATGTGCGTGTGCGTGTGCGTGTGCGCGTGGCGTGTGCGTGTGCGCGTGGCGTGACGCGTGTGCGGTGTGCGTGCGCCGGTGTGCGCTTGTGTGTGTGCGTGTGCGTGTGTGTGTGCGTGTGCGTGTGTGGCGCGCGCCCGCGTGTGTGTGTGGTGGTGTGCGTGTCGCGGTGCGCGTGTGACGTTGCGTGCGGACGGCGCAGCGGTGTGGTGTGTGTGTGTGGTGTGTGTGCGTGTGTGTGTCTAGTAATACTACGCAGCTTACCTGTGCTTGCGTCTAGCTCTCTCTTTGCTCTCTCCGCCGCTCTCTCTCTCTCTCTCTTCTCTCGCCCCGCTCTCTTCGTTTCATCTCTTCCTCTCTCTCTTCGCCCGCGCATCGTCGTCTCTTCTCTCTCTCAACGATTACAATCACGTACCGGTGAGAACAGTTATTCGTCCAAGTGAGCCAGTGTCCCGGGTTATGGCCTTTATTATATGCTACGTGAGCAGGCAGCTCGGTGTAGATGGCAGTCCGAAACCGACATGTGCAGAACCTTCTTGAAAAGTTTGTAGCCTATGTGATTTAAGTTCCTTGCACGGGGTGTGCCATTCGTACTGCGTGCGTCGCTGTGTCAATGTGTCGACTGTTATCATGTGTTCAGCATGTTTAATGCTAAAGCATGTTTAAATGCCACTGGTTCCCTTCGTGCTTGCTTAGTTTTCTCGTCGCTGCGTAGACGTCAAGCTGTCGCGTGATAAGAGACAGCGGCAGACCGCACTAACTGCTTTCGCCAAAGATTGTTTCTGATACTGACTAAGGTAGCAGAGACGAGAGAGAGTCGAGAGAAGATAAAAGAGCAAAGAAAGGAGAGAGGAAAAAATTAGAGAGAGAAAGAAAGAGAGGAAAGACGAGAGGAATAACATTAATATATTGGTAACAGTAAAAATGTTGAATTTGTTAAATAAATAAAATTTATAATAATATAGGCTTTATATATATATATATATATATATATTATTATAATATATATATTAGGCTTAATTTATTAATATAAAATTTAGGCTTACATTTACTTCATACGTATATTATAAAATGTAATAATAGTTGTTAAATTTTTTTTTTTAAAACACATAAATACATATGAAAACACAAATTCAAGTTAATCTAAATCTTCAGTATCGCAGACGCAATGGGAGCAGCCGCACAGCTTGTTACATATGGCCAGAGTGTACGATGCCGCAGGTGTGATAGGAGATGGCGGTAGGCAACAGGCGGTAATAACCACCGTTGTAGCTACGCCGGTCGGCGCCGGTCGGTAATAGTCGGCCTCTGGGTGTTTGGCCGAGCCGCCACGCGGCAGCTTTAAAATATATTCTTACGACAGGCACGAAAATGATTGAGATTGTAAAATATACCTTTAAATTATGAGCAAATCTACAAATAATCTACTATATCGGATTACAGCTTGAGAATTTAATTTAAAAAACACTCTGAGTTTAATTCTCCAACACGGACATTGCGTGTATGGCGCAAGAATCATCAGTCTATCACACCAGTACATGCAACGTAATAGCTGCCCTAATCGCCAATGTTGGCTACTTATATATCACTTAATGCATATGACGTATTAGGGAGACCCCAGGGGAATGTTAGCCGGCGCAACAAATTGTGCGCTGGCTACAACCCTGGTAATGAACATATTATAAAATTATATCAACGCACAACAATAGTGGATAGTCATCAGTATAACTGCATAGAATCAGTATGCAGTAAACATTTATTATCCGAACTATCGTTATTTGACTCTTATTTATCGCTCTCTGTTATTTACCTCTTTGATATAATGTGCTGGCTAATCTTCCAAATAAATGCACTAAAGACGCACATCACTCAATCAATCACCCAGCAATGGATTGTCTAGGGAATGATTTATTTATCATATCCGTATTGTATAGCCGGCGGGACCGTGCGCACGTCAATACGATTCAATAGACTCAACTGATAGATTGTTCTTTGCTGATACAAAGGAGCTACAGCCTGCTGATACGGCTCGTCGTGAGGCCTACATACATGCTCACGGCTGTAGTTGTGTGGTTCATAGTCACTGTATAGTGCCGCCGTTTACCGGAGTCGCGTGTGGTATATCCAAGTTAGCTTCTGCCGGGGGAATTACAGACGCAACGCCACATGCACATCTGCTAGTTAGTGCTGTGTCAACCAAGCGACAAATTACCGCGAGACCCAATCGTAAATTCATCAAGACGTTCACTGAAAATGTAAAAATAAATACAACTCAACACCAATGGCCCAACAGTATTTGGTGAACTGAATTTCTTTTTGATTTCGTTCAACAATTTTTAATATTGACTTCTTTGACGCTCTGCAAGGATTTTCATTCTAAACTCGAATATAAACAACTCGAACACGCACTACTAACATACAATTAGAGACGGTGTCAACATAGGAGACAATCATGTGAGCAATGTAATGGTAAACCGCGGAGTCACGTGTGTGTGGGGGGCATAGTATGCAAAACGGCTGGTGGCATGCATGATCTGCTCCTCTACTATGATATGACCGATCTCTTGCTCAGCGCCCTAACTCCCTAAGCGCGGATATTTATGTAATCTGCGTTCATAGCTCTGTACTTAAGTTATAGTTCCCCCTGAGTCGCAGTCACCAGCTAACCCGACCAGCTTAGGGTGAACCCCGATACCTCTCTGCGACTGGACTATGAATAGCGTGGATGATCGCCTGTCATCCCCGAAGGGAAAACTAGAAAATCCGTCTAGAGACGCAGAGATAACGGAGAGAGCTAAACGCAGAGAGAAAAAAGAGACGAGAGAGGGAGAGAGAGAG